CAACCAGACATCAATTTGGCTCTCAGTTTTTACACCTCTCTCTCAATTAAAGGAAAGTCTCGCATTGTAAAGGAAAGTTTGAGAGCAAGTATTAGAAAATTGGCGACAATGGTACATGATTAGCTTGTCGTCGATAATTAATTGTCTCCCCAAAAAAACGGCGACGGTTGGCTGCTTGTACATTCGATGCCGGGTGGCTTGAACTGGAACTATAGTAATTTTTCACAAATGAAGCCGAACAGAAGAGATAAATCCTTAGTGTAGGGTGCAAGGGGAAGCCGGTGATAATCGATTATAATTAGCAAAGGCACTGTGAATCTAAGGCCAGATAAGGCTTAGGCCTGTCGTACTCTTTACCGGCTTATTAGATAAGAAGTTAAAAATTTGTATTTCTATAGATGCGAGACTCGGATAAGCGTCAATGAGTGCGGAGATCACAAGGAATACTTTTAATGACATTTCATGGTAGGGTGTGAAGAGTTGAATTTGGAAAGGCTGCCTCAAAAATGCATCACTTATGAGGAAGGAGAAAACTACTCAGTTCGAATTCTACTCGTTCCGTAACTATTAGTCGTTTGCGTTAATTTTGGCCATCTTTTCGCTAGAAAAAGGCATTTGTCGAGAAAAATTGCAAATTAATCAAAATAGTTCCCGTCATTTTCTACAACATTTTATCATATTTCTGGCAACACGGCGATATGGTGTCGAAAGACCTTATATTGATTTGGCAGCGATCCACCTACCGACCCATTTTCGCACTTCTGCAACCCAGCTATGCCACGGTGCATCGATGTGAACATGCGATATTCAGAAGACGCCATAACTAGTGAATACGCTGGCTGTGGCAGAACTGCCCACACGAACTGCAATAGCGTACCCTTGACAAATCTTGCAACAAGTGGACAAAATGCCATTTTCAGTCAATTCATGTAGTAGCCATTTTCCCTCTCCATCACATGTAAGCGTGTGGAAAGAGTTGACCCATCAACAGCTAAGCTGTTCGAATGTTCTTCGAGAATTTGAGCTGAATTTTCGGCCAATAACTCTTGCAATTCATGGCTCGAGCACTTTCTTGTCATTAACATCAAAATCATCACTTTTTTAACGTGGAAACCAAAGCCGATAATTGGGATATGATGAACTAGCATCATCACCATAAACTTCTGAGATTGTCTAGTGGTCTTCGGCAGCAGGTTGCATCAAATTAAACAAGAGAAGCAATGATAGTCGAAAGTGCAATTTTGAGCGCTCCATGATTAGGGTCGGCCTATGCTGAATAAGTCCGAATAATACCGAATGGAAAAGACTTATTTTATGCAAATCATCGAATTTAATCATTATGTACACTGGTATGTCCCATTTCTTCATCATTTTTACCGGGAAAGTCACCTATCAAAATACATGCAACCGACTAATATAAGCGATTCTAAAAAGTTATTTAAAATACGATAATGCGAAGAACAAGTTAACATATGATTCCCAAGACAAAGATGATTGAACAGATAAAGTTCGCCTCAAAATGTCATTTAAAGGGTATCAGATACCTTGGTTGAAGAAATTTGCGAACTTTGTCGATATATTTACATACTATGCGTAATGGTGGAGTAAATCGAAAGTTTAACTTTTCCAATTTGAATTGTTTAAGAAAGACACACACACACACACACACACCCAGTTCATCATGTTCAGGAAAACTAATAAACTATGATATGATTCTGATCAGATGTCTGTTACACGGACCTAATTATTAGTTAAGATTTTCCTGCGGAGGGTTGTTCATGTTATCCTTGCAATCGGGAATAATATCACCGAAACATAGCAGGAATCCATAACCGTCCACAGTGGTTTAGATTGGACGTAATTCTTCTCCTTAACCGTCCCAATAGACTAACAATAAAGTCATTAAGAACACCTGAAAACGGCCTTGAGGCATACTCTGGCAAGGGTAATAAATAATTCTTTCCGAACGAGAAAAGCAACAATTTTTAAAATATAAAAATAAAAGAAATATATTTATGTTTATATATATTATATACATATATATGATTGTTTAATATATAATAGGAGGAGTTAAAGACAACAAACAACCGTGAAAATATCCCACACTTTCCAACACACGCAGTGTATAATGTATTCTCTAATGTTAAACACCCCGTCATCGGATATATGTGTGTTCCGTGTGTGTACCTTTCATTCATATAATATTCTTGTCGTCATCAACGAGAGAATAATAAGATAATTGAACTCACTTTGAATTTCGTGTTAAAGCAGCTAAGGCGCACAATCTGCTCTTTTGCCTGTTTGACCTCACTTGTTGTTAGACATGAAACAACCAAAGAAAAGATTTGTTGTTGAGCGAGAGCTGCAAGATTTCAACAGAGTTTTAGTGTAAATGCTGTGTTGACTAAATTCAACGGATTGTATTTTTTGCTTAAGGACACTGCTAAATAAAAGAACGAATGGACTTGTAAGCAACTGTGTATTCGTGTGTTGTACGCATGCGTTTCATGCGTGGAAAGTACAAACATAATGTTTATACCATTCACAGATGGATGGGATTAGACTAAATTTGTCCTTCACTTTCCTTTCAATATTTAGCAAAAGAAAGTACCTTCGACCATTGCTTGGACTCTAAGCCTGTTTGCTTATGTTCGTTTGTAGACATAAGCTTACGACGATACAGAAACACATTCCCATGATCAAGAGAAGGAAAAAATGATTAATGAGACCAATGAGTGGTCATTACTTTCGTTCATTTGCTGAAAATAAACTAACGTCAGAAAGACATTCTATGACAGCACTTTTTGTTGGACCACATAAACCCGATGTCATCATTACCGTCCCTAGTTTGGGACGGTGGATCGAATTCTTAATAAATAAAGAAACTCTAAGAACGGCTTTTAATACTCAACATCTCAAACTAATACATACAAATTGTAATGCAACTGTGAATACACTTTGACAAATACACTCCTTTGAGTGTTGCTTAAGCAAGTACATCAGCTTTCCGCTGTAATGGACTATAAAAGTTCTTTTATTCTCAAAGCATTTTCGTCAGCCTCGACAAATCAAACGTCCATATGTTACGATCACTTCACACCCTTTCCAGAATTACGCAACACAAGGATATAGTAATATCCAGATGTTTGTATGTGTGCGTGGAACAAGAGCCAGCTAGAAAAAATAAACCTACCATACCCTACACCACTTGTGTATTAAGTATTTGTGCATGGACTATGCGTAGACCCAATTGTTATTATACCGATCGATTCAATATGCGAGCTTGCCTGTCCCGCTGTCTGTCTGATCACTTTGACCCACGCACAAATCATGAAAAAGAAAAAAAAAAAAACGGCGACCTCTCATTTTTAATATACATTAGTCTGATAGACATTTCGTCATTTTAGTAACGGAGTCTGAGCGCATTTATGACCGCAATATTAATAACAACTTTACAAGGCAGCAAGAAACAGGTAGAAAGGATAAACACTGAATACCCTCAGCTGAAGCGTAACGAAATGTATTTCCATGTAACACAAGTCTCATCAGAAAAAAAGGAAAATATTTTTACAAAATTTCCATCGAAACGCATCATAAAAGAAAGGTTCTCAGCACACTTTGCAGTGGATTAGTGCGAAATTTTATGCAAAATCGGAAAATCCTCAAATTCATGGCAGAGAAAAAAGAAATTCTCTTCAATTTTATTATGTTGAAGCGCAATTCTACTACACTTACAAAATATAACATAAACGAATAAAGTGAAGAATATTTTCGTAACATATTCAGTAGGAACCTTTACTTCGACGAGTACGGATTGGAACTTACAATTAACATAAGCGAAGAGAAGCAAGCTAAACATTTATTTATCATTCAGTCTAAGAATCAAATTTTAAATCGAAATACATTTAAATTATTTTAATTGGCTGCAGCATTAACTCCACCTACAGTAAGTAAGTGAAGACCAATCTGATGCAAGTACAAAAATAATTTGGTTTTATGTCAACTTTGATTGCCCGCAATGAGCATTTTTCATACGTCATCTGTCATTCATCCGTTTCTTCATTTTCGGTAATCCTGTCACACATATCGTAGTAGTAACATCGTAACGTCCCGAGATGTGTGTCGGTATTTAAACCAGTACTCAAAATATCAGTTCATTTCAGAATACTTTCTATTAACTAAACTCGGGACTGTACCGGAGTTGATGTCCTTTGATTTAGACACTCTTTGCAATTTACTCCTGATACTTTCTGATAGTGCAGTGATCTGGAATTGAAATTCTATCCGTAAGTCATCTCCTTTTCCTCGTAAATCATTCAAATGGTTTTTGCTCACTAAGCAAAGCCTTGTTCGCTTAACTGACATCGGATTGGTTTCACCCGTAATCCAATCTTTTTCTTCACAAATTCAAACAATACATCGCATGCTTTTAATAAAACTCATTGTTTAAACGAGCTGTCAAGGGTTAACACAATTCCTTTTTATTTATTCTCTGGAAATAGAATTTCAGTTTAAGTTAAGACAAAGGGTGAACTACAGCGGAAGTTGCTTGAATTCTTTTCTCATTTTACTGAACGTAATCCAATCTGCCTGAAGCTGAACTTCTCTGAATAGGTTCTAGGCTTAGGTTTTTACTTTTTCTGTTAAGTTCGAGATTTTGTTGCAGAAGTGGTGCTAGCAAAATGCGTTTCATTGGCATAAAAAAACCCTTCGTGGCCCTTTATTAGATAAGACTTGCATATTGATTGCAAGACATATCTAGAACTAAATCTTAAACCTCGTGAAGAGAAGCAATAAAAGTAAGTTACAGATGCGAATAAAAAGTAATAGAACTTTGATCCTATTCGACCAATATATCCAAAGACGACATGCAAGCAAATTTCTTTCCTTGATACTAGACTGAGAGACAGATGCAAGCTCTTCCTTAGGATTGCTAGGGCAGCTTTCTTCATTTCGAGTCTATGAAATTAATGTCTTTTCAATTTAGAATTTCCAACAAGATGATCGCCGAAAGTGCAAATGCGGCCGAACAATTCGTTGAAGAAAAATGTACGAATTTCGATTACGGGAATGCTTTCCTTCATAAGTTAAATAAAATGCGAATCGATCAAGAGGTAAGTGACAAGCCATGCAGCCTATAATTAATGGATTAATGGATTATAGCATGCAACGATCTCTGATGTTACAGAATTGCGACTTTTCTTTGGAGATAGGTGGCGAAACCTTGTATGTCCACAGAGTCGTCCTGGCCGTTGCTTCTCCCTATTTCGCGGCAATGTTCAGGAGTATGTGATTCTATATAGTTATCGAACAACGGTTTATTCCAAAGCTTTAAAAACTTTCCAACAACATTTTTGCAGATAATACGAAAGAAAAAGCAATGGGTTCAATGAAACTTGAAGATAATGACGCAACCGCTGTAAAAACTATTATTGATTACATCTACAGTGGCGAGATGACACTAACTGAGGAAAACGTTCAGTTCGTTTTTTTAACAGGTGATTATTTTCAGATCGAATGGATAAAGAGAAAGTGTGTGGAATTTTTTAAAAGCAAACTGACTCTAACGAATTGCTTTCAGATGCGGAGACTTGTGGGTGAGTTCTTAAATCTTTGCAAGCGTGCAAAGCACATAAATGTTTATTGTCTTTCAGATAAGCCACCCTTCGAGGAGCTCTACGAATGCAGCCACAACTACATATTAAAACACTTTGACAAATTAATCCATAAGGAAGAGTTGTTACGACTATCGTTTGAAGAGGTGGGTAGACGACTGAAGGATAAGCTACAGTGTGTTAGGTCATTGTCATAGCAAAAGTCAAAGACAAGAGCAAAGGCTGCTTTACAAATATTTGTGTTCATATCAAAAGGATATTAACAAACGTTCTTGGTATAATGATTGGGGAACCATTGCGATGGGTTAGCTGCGGGCCATGGTTGAATGCAACGGACCATTTTCTATTGATTATATACCGACTTTCAAGTCGGCTTCTCCACATCCAACCTCGGTCAATATTTTCAGTCATTTAACTTTGCCTGTATCCATCCAAGACTTCAAGATACACATTTTAATGTTGGTTCAGCACAGTCCGCCTTTTATGATTCATATATTCGTTGGAGACAAACCTACATAGGTCTCGATAGAGGACATGTCTCTGAAAATCTCTTCCTCAAAGGACTTTTCAAAGTCTCACATCAGCATAGCAACCATCACCCCACACTTTTCTCTCATATGCAACGGAAGACTTGACACCGAATCGTTCAGGAGTGAATTCATAACTTCTTTATCAAAGTTAAATTAAGTTTTTTCAATTTCTGATACTCAGTATCTGAAATTTAAGAATTTTTTATTTATTGCCTGGAACGTCAGTTAGAATCTCATATCCATGTTTAGTTCGAGTTCTCTTCATGCATTTGCATCCCATACAATATGAAAAATTCAAACACTTTCGTACAAACTTTACCCTTGATATTTGAAAATATTTTCAGATTGAAGAATTAGTAAAAGACGACGGACTTGCAGTGGCGTTTGAAGATAATGCTTTCAAGGCCATAATGAAGTGGGTTAAGCACGATCTGGAGAAGCGAAAAAGTTATCTCGCCGAGTTAATGAGCCATATGAGGCTACCTTTTATTCGAAATGAATTTCTAAGAGACCATGTCATTAATGAAACTTTGCTTAAGAACGATTCGCATGGTAACCAATTTTTACCTCAACTTTGCACTTATCACTTAACATCAACGAGCCAACGATCATCTCAAACCAGAAAAAATATACCTAAAAATCGAAATGCAAGGTTTCACATACTATTCAGTGGCGGTGAAGATATAAAGACTGGTTGGCCACAACGTAAGTGCAGAGTATTTAATGTAAGCAGCAGCAAAATATGTTCCATCACAGATATGGTAGATAGAAGAAATGGAAATTCTGTAATTTCTTTAAACGATGTTGTGTATTCGGTGGGAGGATATGACGAAGATGTTCTGGAAAGTGCGGAGTATTATGATCAGGTCAATAGGAAATGGATTCACATTGAACCTATGAACAGAGGTCGAGTTTACTTTGGGATCTGTGCTCATAATAGTCTTATTTATGCCATTGGCGGTGCACACCTCTCAAGCGTTGAAAGTTACAATGCTTCAACGGGCAAGTGGTACGCGTGCCCAAATACACCTGTTGCATACGAGTGGTGGTGTCGCGCAACTGTAGTGGAAAATAGCATTTATAGTTTGGGTCGTGGAACGGATGGCGTCACATCGTGTATCCGTTTCGATCCCAGGGAGGGTCGATGGTATAAACTGAATGAAATCCCAGGACGTCCACTAAATGGTTTTGAACTGTTCTCTTACGATCGATCGTTGTTTTTTATTGGGAAGAAGTGCGCGCGCCTTGACATACGATCAAATAAATGGGATTCGATGCTTTCTATGCTCTCCCAAAGGTTTTACTATTCCGCTGCTGTCATAGCAGACGACATATACGTGTTTGGTGGCGGCTTGAATGTGGGATCACGTGTGGAGCATATTAAGACCGTAGAACGCTATAACATCCATAACAATGAATGGACAACAGTCGATGCAATTGAAGTTGAATCATTTGGTGGCGCAGCGGCACTGATTAGCGGTGATATTAATTTGGACTAAATGAAGAAAGCGGAAAATTATTTTCTCTAATGTGCAATTTAGTGTTTAAGATAATTGTTTTAAGAGCAGTTGAAAGTTTAAAATAAGGAAATGTTTGACGTCAGTAATCATTGCCAGAAATAAATTTATTTTAACCTATCCGCTACCAAGGTCCAGCTACTTTGACGACGACAACTAGTTTTTGTTTCGAAAGAGGGTAACTACATATTATTATGCTCGGCCGATGTACATCGATAAGATGTTTACAAGTTTTTTATTAAATACGTATGAAAGAGCAAAAGTAAAAAATTGTTTCTATTTCAAATCACTCTTCGCTACAAACATCGTGAGCAAGGTGATCGAAACTGCTGAAAACAGAAAGGTACGTCGTTCTCTGTCATTGAACCTGAACCTTACCTTCACTGTGGATGGAAGCCCAAGCTTTTGTACTAAACTGCTTTTTTTTTACTTCTAGACTTTCTTTCACATACAAGAGACAAAGCTTCAAGGCAAGTAATTAATATGTGAAGTCATTGCTAATGCCTGGGCATAAAGTTATTTACGTTACTCTTTCACGGGATGCGTCCTATACGTGTAACGAAAGATTACATTAAAGAAGTTGCGAAGAGAAGAGAGAGAAATTCGTGCCCGATCGGTAAATGTCATGAATTTATCTACCGAACACTCATCATAGCTACGGCCCCACACCAATCACGAAAAAAATTCATTTTGCTCAGCACTGAAGCTCCAAGATATATGTGTTCCAAAAGTGCTTTTAGCAATTGCCACTGAAATAAAATGTATGGGATCGCATCCATGATTCTACTGAGAAAAAAAATAATTCATCAAAGCGTGATTAGATTCTATAAAATAATTTGTCTTTGTGTTCTTTTACTTTGTATGTCTTCAATTACACTTGTGCTAATAAAGATTACATCCAAATGTTATATATATGATATACTTATAATATATATGTTTAGCACAATAAACGAGTGATCTAATAAGATTATAAGTCGCTTACAGTTCAGTCAAGTAACATGATTAAGTGATACACTAGGAAGTTACTTGAACAATGTCACTAGTTAAAAATACTCCTTAGCTTGAAGTTTAAAGTACGGGTATACAGTTGACTAAGTAATAAATGCAAACCAGAAAAGAAAAATCCCAATCAAGCTTGGAAGCAAAAAGCATAGTTATCTTCCGCTTGAAACAAGAAACTCGATAGACTGACTATTCCGTAAGTTTATAACATTAATAAAAACGGTTTCGACGATGTAGAGTAGTATCTGTGTTTGTAGTTCTTTTAGATCTAACAAACATCAACTTGTCAGAGACGCTTAGACTCTTGTCTATAAATCATTTACATTTAAACCCAGAATTCTCAGTGAGAGTTGAGATACAAGTACACTTATTTATGACAAGCCGTAGACAATTTTTTCAGATATATTAAAGACTGTCATACACGTCAGCACTGCAAGATACGAGATGGATTATATAGCATTTAACCAGTTTCAGTTTAGTTTCACCAAGTGTACAGTACGATGACAGCCATAGCTTTCTTAAAATCACACACTTATGTAATTCAACTTAATCTAGAATTCATCTTGAAACCAAGATTGATAACAACACTGACAAATTCAACTTCAGCATTCGCCGTCACTACTCTTAGATGGCGAAGTAACGCTCAGGTCACCCTCCAGGCACCCTTCGATATACTAATAGTTTTGCTTTTAGTTGAATTTAGTCGCAAATCGTTTTTATCAAACCTACGGACAATATTGAGTAGATCATCATTTATACGTTCGACAAGGTGCTTAAAAAGACCCAGCGGCCTTGAAAAATATATTCCGACATCATCAGCGTATAGGTGAAGAATCTTTGTATTATGGCAAAAGGTTTTCAAATCATTGACACACACACAATAAACGAAATTGTCCCGAATATCGAATTTTAAGTTACCACTGAGGAGATACACACATCATATATTAAAATAATTGATTCAGACATCAAAAGTCAATGAATGGTTGCACACTTTTTTCTTTTTTATTTAATGTTTACTTACTTTACCAAATTTTACTATATCGGTTAATAGAAAGAGTTGACAAAACATGAGATATTATCTTAAGATATTCCAACAATAAGTTACGTTTATTAGAAGAGAAAAATAATAAAAACAATACGAGATATTAATAGGAGTCTTACGACTTATCAAGATTTAAGCTTCAGGAAATAAAGAAAGTTATTGATTGAAAAACGATAAGCTACGGTAGAAAGTTGACATCTTACTTAGATAGAAGAGAGTTATATAAAACATATAGAGCTAAGATCGAACTATTTGATCCTATAGATCTTTGTTCGAAGCTTGGTAACCAAATTATTAATGCAGTGTTTAAAGAGAGTTGACTGAATCGAATGTTGGAAGTCTCATGTTGAAGACACTCTATGTGAGCTTGAGAGCGATTTTTTTAGATAGGGCAACCAAAAGTTAAAATGCGTGAAATTCATATTTGATGTAAATAAATTTTATCTCTATATTTACCTTCGACTTGCGATCTAAAATGGAAAAAGAGGGATTCGCAACATCTAACAACTTTAGAGCGTGAATGTTTAGCGCATTCTTTATAAGTAAGTTTATTATTAAAAGGGATTCCGAGATTTATCACGGATTTAAGAGAAACTATTTATTGATTTTCTGTTGGCGAATATTCTGTTGTGAGAGAATTCTTTGAAGGAATTTATTGAATGGAATATGGGCTTTAGATTCGTTTACTGGAACTTTACACATAAAGAAATAATTGGAAACTGAAGAAAGTGCTTTGCCTAGACGAGTGAAAACACTTTAAACAGTGACGTTGTATGAAATATATTATGTTTTAAGCATTTACATATCATTGTATGTTTGTACGAATTTAGTTGTCTGACAAAATTCAAGCTGAACAATACGTCTACAAAACAAACACGCATTTGACCATAAACGCCGGACAGTAATAAGATATATGCAGAGACAATTAAATAATAGAAGCACGAAAAATCCACTATAATGAAGATAGCCCATCAAGATAATCCACATTTTTAAGGTCCATGTTTTCGCTAAAAATATCTAAAAGGGCATAATAAGTATTAAAATCAAATAATATTAGCAAATATGCAGATATAAAACAAGCTAAGCCTCCAACTACGTACACAAAACTAACGAATCAAAGTTACTGCTACTAAATCCCATGCAAAATTATAATACAATCACTGAAAGAACGCAATGTCAAAATTGTGCTATAACAATTTTCAGAGGCATTAAGCGACCTTGGGTTTTTAATGCCATGAAAAATGCTAAAACCTATCAGAAAAACTTAATTTCATTACCCTTGCCCGGGTCCGTTACCGCCAAATTCGCCCCAAACTTGCCCACCCCATATACACAAGACACTAAATGCAGAATGTTGCTAATGAAATGTTTCTTATTCTATATACAATGTTCTTGTGTTTGTTGCTAATGAAATGTTCGATTTCATATACATAATGTTTTTGTCTCTATCTAACATGTATGTTTAAGTTTGCACCTTATGGGCACATGCTTGCAATAGAATAAAATAGAATGTGTTGAATATAACTGTGCGCGGGTGTGTTTGCGCGTTTGTGCATGCATCTACCTATAAAGTTAAATGTATGGTCTTGAGTTGTCGCCATTTTTCTAAATATGAATCAACATCCGCGTACAAATTTACGCAGAACATTCAATAGGCAAGGCTATGACAAATACAGACCGACTTTTTCAATTATTCTCAATTGTAAACAAATACAGAGTAACTTTTTATACGCTTAGTCTCAGATGCTTCCAAATTTATACGCAACATATATATATGTTCGTATGCGCTTGTACGTGGGCTTGTTGGTTAGCAGCCACCTGACTGCCTGCTTTTTTTTTTTTCTCATTATGTATATAGATAAAAATTCAGTTTATGCCTTTTGGCCGGACGCGTTAGTATTTACTGCTTCCACGAAAATATTTCAGACCTATGTACTATTTTTCCCCCTGCCCAGAAATTATTGCTCGTACTTAATATATAAAAAATATTTCTTGTTTCCCTACAATGTAATCGATGGTCTCGCCTCATATTGATACTATTTTACCAAAATACCCATAATTTTGAAATAAATTCTTTCCGTTTTGTCGTATAGACCCCTCTACTTCTAGAATAGAAGAGGTAGAGTTGGCGCTACTCTTGAACTTTTGATAACTGATTTAAAAGAACTGTTGTTCGGATTCGGACTAAACTCGAAACATGAAAAATTGGTATTAAAACTCTTTGCACTTTCCGCTGATCGAGGAGTAGTTAACGGGGACGTAAAAGTATTTCGCTTCAAAGAGAGAAAGTTATTATTGCGTGAAGAAAGTAATTGCTTTCTATCCTATGTCTGGACGAATCCTGAGCTACATACATCGATGTTATCCCGATCTATACTTTTCCATTCCATTTTTTCGATTCCATTTTTTGAAATATTTACATTAGAGGATGGAATATTAAATAAGATCTGCTTAGTTTCGCTAACTGCCTTTAATTTAAGTGCATCAATAAATCTAACGAATTTAATCCTGCCTACGCCGTATTCTACTTTGGATATTATATCATGTTTCACTTTGTGAAACCCACCTTCTACGACACCATTAGTAGAAATAAATGAATTACTTTGGCTATCAGAAATTATATGAGACCACATGGGCAAATATGGCGCGTAGTGCTTCAAAAAATATTTCACACAATTTTGTGACTAAGATGGGCTACTAACATCAAGGTGTTGAAACACCCTTGTTGTCGAATGCCTGTTGCAAAATGCCTAAACCAAAACTTGAACCTATCATAAGAAGGCAAACTTAAAATATCACTGAATATCTTTTTTATTTACTGTTCCTCCTTTCAATTTTTGAATGCGGTTACATACATACATTTTTTCTAAAGTGAACATAACATGATTTTAAAAACTATTTTCTCTGTCGCTGTATTTTCATTCCTTTCTAGCTTGTT